TTTGCACCTAGATGGTTTAAAGGTGCTCCCATGGCCAGCGTTTGTCTGTCGGCAGAGGAAAAGGTGACTCTCCGACCTGCTGACGTGAGCCACGAGAACATCTCTGACTGCACAAATATAAAATACAGACGTTGCTGTGCAGCTTCAATCCAAATCCAAGTCTCCTTCTGGGGGCCGATCCTGATCCTTAAGGGTGAGGCATTAAAGCGAACACATACATAGGGAATAAAAAAAATTTAAAAAATCCTCCCTAACTCATGTAGCAACCTGGAAGATAGAAGCAATTTTTCTCCTCTTTGCATGGATAATCATACTTCTCATTTTCCACTGGTATTTCACTCGTGAGGGCTGGGTGGGATTTTCAGCAGCCCCATGTTATCAACTGATCTCTCTTAGCTTACCAGGGGAAGGATCTGTCCCTCCAGGCATCCTCGTGTGATAGCAAACTTCATGGGTTGGATGTGCAACCACACGAAGAGGACTCAAACCTGGTCCGGTCCACCCCATTTCTATTTCTCTACATAACTCAACATTTGAGCAAACAACAACTTAAAAATCCAGCGATTGAACGTTAAAAGAGAAGGTATTGCTGGTTTCTACCTCGTTTCTCCCACTTTCTCCTCTCTACAACAACACTAAAATCAGAGCTAAGCTCCTGCCAATATCTTCATTTTAGAATAAGATCTTCTGATTTAAAGGAAAGAAAAAGCTACTTGCATGATTTAAAAAAATAAAAGAAAAAAGGAGATTACCATATGAAAGAAGACGGCAGCAGATACGTAATGGCTATTCTTCTGTAACATTTTAACCTTTTCCAAAGCAATCCTGCCACATCTGCATGTGTCTCTGGGGACACTATGTATTAGGCCACGTTAATACGGCTGGGATCGTTAGCTGGGCTGGCACAGGACCTTCTGAAACTCCATGCGAGAAAATGAAAGGCAGTGCACGTATTATCAGAGAGTTACAATCCAGTTGCCTCTAACCCATCTGGATTCATTAACAGCAAATGAGTATGATCAAAGCATAATTTTATGGCAAGATACTTCAATGAAGCCTTTTAAAAAAACCCACACTAACAAGGAAACTCACGCACTGAACGATATTCATCTCCTCGCACCTGAAAACGCTGCGTGGTGCTGAATCCCAACATCATGCCGAGGGGATGATTCATCACTCCTACAGCACATCGGGGTGAAGGCTTTAAAAGAGTCTTAAGTCTACTAAAAATAAAAAGAAATTCCTTCTTATGAGCTCCGGTCCGTTAGCTACTGTTGAGGTAACAGCATAAAACAGAGCAGCACCACTCATTATTAACACCCTGGGTTTTATTTTTAATGTATTTTGCAAACATTTATCATTATTCCTTGATATGGTCCTTATTCTCAGTTGTGCTGAAGCTTCAGATAACGTAAAGCAGCTTCAGGGCAGGTATAACTGACACTCCGACCATAGGGCTTTCACCAGCCCAGAGCGATGGAGAATAAGCAGACTCAGATGTATTATTTTAATAATACCTTTGGGATTA